ACCTGAATGTGAGACAGGAAGCCATCAAAACCCTAGAGGAAAAAGCAGGAAATAATTCTTTGACCTCAGTCGCAGCAATTTCCTACACGACACACTTCCAAAGGCAAGGGAATCAAAAGCAAAAATGAACTATTGGGACCTCATCAAGATAAATCCTGCCACATTTCAAGAGGGTGAAGAATTGCAATCAGTCACCTGGTACTCCCGGAAAGAGAGAAGAAACATTTTCTACCTCTTGACTCACTATTCTTTTTTTCATTTTCAAGGTTATCTGAGTCAAGAACTGCAAAGGGTCTGAGACGCTACCCAATTACAGGCTAACAAATTTGTGGGCCGGAACTTCATAGATGAGAGTGGAAACATGAGACTCCTAGGTCAGGGATGAAGCACAATTTATTGTTCACAGAAATAGCAGTGGCCAGAATATCAGCATTTTGCCCTAATTCCACCAGGGTGGTACAAGGTACAAATGTCACATGCACACACAGTGAATTGCTTTGCAGGGTAGAAATCCTGGGCTTAGAGACTCTGAATCTTTTATAGTGAAGAGTAAACACTATCCCTATCTTCCAAGACTGCTTGTTACACAAACATCCTTCAAAACAGGTCTGAAAAAAAAGGAAAACTACTACCTCTGCTCAAAAGACATTCAGAAGTGCAAGAAGCCTATGGAGAATTATCTTTCAAATGACTTTTTTTAAACTTCCTTTTGTGTCTAACATAGAGATCAATTATTCATTTATATTGTGAATAACAATTTCTCAAGACAAAACAACTCTCTTTGCTCTGCAGTTTTTCTTCTCAGTTTCATCCAGGAAATTAATATTGCCACCATTTTTTTGTTGTCTACTTCCATATGGCTATTTCCATTTTACAAAGTATCATTATTTTTAACCTTAATATGTCATTTCATTTGGGGTATATATCTGGTACATAGCAAGTAGTTCACTCTTTTGATATACTATGATCATAACTATCCTTTACTATAGAACTTTAATAAATAAATAAATTTAAATAAATTTAAATTTAAATAAATAAATCTGAATTTATGCACTGTAATGTTCTTAACCTGGTTTTTCTCTCATATGTACTCCTTCCTGCTCACCTTAGAAAATGAAAACAAAAACACTTTATTTCATAATAGTTCTCAAGTTTGCTGTTGTCCCATTTTTGTCTCTGGAAATATGGAGTTTATAATTCAATTTTCATTCTGCTACTATTTGTCTTTAAATTTTTAACTGAGTATTTTAATATCTACTTTCTTATCTATCTGTTGACCCTTCTCCCATTAAAAAGACTCGGAACACTTTTATCCCTCTGAACCCTCCTATAAGAGACATTTTATTGGAATAGTCAGGGTACTATTTTGGTAGACTGATTTTTTTTTTCTTTTTTTGCAGTAGAGATTTTTATTTGAGGAATTATTTTTGTTCATTACATTGTTTCATAACCACACAAATGATCATTTAGAAAGGATCTTGAGCTTGCAGTGCCCACTGCCCTTTCTCAGACACAATATCACTCCCATATCTTACTTCCATAGTTTTAAGGTCGGCGGGAGTACAGAAGGGGACACAGAGATTCAGGATGTGCTTTCTGCTTAACAATATCCTTCTGCTATCTTCACACATATTTGCCCAAAAGTAAAATTCTTAGATCATCTCTTTTACCCTCAAAATTCAAAATCGTTCCATAGAAATGTGCCTTCCTGCTGGTAGTTAGTGTTGGGGAAGAGAAATCTGTGGTGTTGCTATTGATTTTATTTTCTTGTGGCTACTTTCCCCCTCCAACTTGCATGCTTATAGAATTTGTCCAATATTCCTGAAGTTCAGAAATACCACGAGATTGTGTCTATATATTAATTTTCCCAGTACTTGGTAGATTCTTTATACAGATAAGGTTGTTTATCTTTTTAGCTTGGGAAAATTGGCTTTAAATCTCTCTTTGCTAATTGTTTCTCCTTTTTACTCCATTCTAGGCTTATGTTAATTCTAGTGTAGATATAGCAAGGTTGTTAAAATTATTATTTTTGCTCATCTATTTCATTACTTTGTCTTTTTCCTCTGAATTCTAGGGCAGTATCTTGAGCTAATCCATCAAATCTCTGTTTTAGCTTCATCTTTCAAGAACCAAACCTGCTGGTCATTGCCATTTATGTGTTTTGTTTTTCTTTTTTGTAATTTAGCAATTGTTTATTTTGTGTAATAGCAATTGTTTCCCAGTATCAATTTTTCCCCAAAGGATGAAAAGTGCTGTCAAATATCCCTAACATGAATCTAATCATTTGTGAAATGCTTATTTGTTCTCATTCCTCAGAAGAGTCCCTTTTTTGTATTTTAAATCTTTATATATATAATATATATAATCTTTATATATATTACATATATTATATAAATAGTGACTATTCTTGATCAGCTTGTTTTTGCAATATGTGGATCTAAAATTTTGTTCTGTTATATTGTTTAGGCCTCTATTCATATGATACTGTCTTCATAAGGGAGAAAGAAGGAAACGCCTTCCACAGCTTCATTAGTTAGTGGGCCAAGGGAAGTATGTTCATCAGGTCATATACTCAAGGAATGCAGATACTACGTGAATGGGAGAACCTACCTGCTCAATGAGTCCTTGCTCTCCAGTAGGCTGGAGTTAGGATTTTAGTGGGTAGCAACCTAACTTTCCCCCCAGATGATGGCTCTCTAGCCAGATACCTCTTCTAGCCCCTTCTACTGTGGATTTTCAGACAGTTGTGTAAAATGAATAGTTCTAGAAGGATCAAAAAGTGTTTACCAGAATAGTTGACTTTATTGGGGAAAGTCTCTCTGCTGTTGAGCTATTTTCTGCTTAATGGATATTATCCCAACCCTTTAGGTACTGTCCCTTTCCATACATGAACTTAATTGCTCTGGCTGGTCCACCCTCCTTGTTGTATTCCATAAATCTTCCATACTACGAGCAAACGCTATCTAGTCAGTTGCTTCCCCTTGGGGTAAATTCTCAAAGTCCCTTATTTGCCCCTATCTGAATATTTCTCCCTTGTGGCTTGCCACCCCAGTCCTTCCATCTCTAAGACGGGGCATTCTCCTGCACTGTCTTGTGAAAATCTGGTCATTTATATTCCAGTGTAAATCCACTCTTGTCTGCCTTAGGTTGTTACCTGTTTATCAGTGACCAGAATGCTCTTCAATCTAACCCCATCTGTAATTTACCATTTAGAAAGTTCCCAGAATGTCTGCATTGTCCATGAAACTTTGAAAATAACAGCATTATAGCACTTCCCTCCTTGATATTTAGTTCCTTAAAAATAACTACAATGTACCATGCTCTTGCTAAATTAAAAAAAACTGTAGACATCCTAGGAAATATGCTGTTGAAATGTTGGCAAATATTTATGTAGAACAAATATTCATATTTAGATTGAATTCCTTGATCACTAAACTTAAGAAAACAGCTACTGTTTGGACAATCTACTGATTTGAATTAGGAGAAAAATTCTCCCCTCACCCCCATCCCCTCAAATTATGGTGTGTGTGTGTGTGTGTGTGTGTGTGTGTGTATGTGTGTGTGTGTAAATATTGCTATTTGAGTTATAGAGCTTCACTTTAAATTCTTTCTCTCTAGCAAGATATCTTCTGTTCAGCCATCCAGATCCACTTTCCCTGTTAACTACTCCACTCTTTGCCCCAAAGCTGCATGAATTTTGCCAACAGACTTCTAGTTCTCCTGCTTTACTTCTGGGTTCTACCAATGGGAAATGCAAACAGGCAACTGGAGAGAGAAAGTATATGTTTCAGAGTATTCAGAGTACTTATTTCTCCAGTTCCTGAGATTACATAGTATTGGCTATCCCTTGATAGTTGTTTTCTTTTTTTTTAATTTTTTTATAGTTTATTTATTTTTGAAACAGAGAGAGACAGAGCATGAGTGGAGGAGGGGCAGAGAGAGAAGAAGGCACAGAATCTGAAATAGCCTCCAGGCTCTTAGCTGTCTGCACAGAACCTGATGCGGGGCTCGAACCCACAAACTGAGATCATGACCTGAGTTAAAGTCAGACACTCAACTGACTGAGCCACCCAGGTGCCCCAACAGCTGTTTTCTGATCCTCTCTGTTATCTATGTTACACTCTGCTTCCTCAGCCTTCTCCCTCCCCATGTTCATCTGAGGCCAGGGGTAGAGATAGCTTATCTCCTACCTGCCCAGGGTTCTTGCACTATTCCTTTAGTTTCCCTACATGCTGGCCACACTTTATAATAAGTCCCTTTGTAAATAAACCCTCCTTGAATTTTCCTATTTTGAGTGTGCCATCAATCTCCTGTTAAGACTGACTCACACACCCTTATTCATCACTGTAGGTCTCTGACATGCGTGTGATTATTGTGATTATTAAGGTTATGCCTTTGGCTTATTGGGGAAAGGGGTTGTTATAGTTTCCTTAACCAAGTTTATTCTTCCTACAGAATTTCATCATTGTCCTACTAGCAGTTCTATTCCCACAGGATAAAAGATAGTTCTACTGTTTACCCTGTTTTTCAGCATAGAGTGCATTTATTTGTTTGTTTATAAATAATTCCAGTTGTTTTACTGGGATCTCAGGAAGAACAGAAGGTAAAAGTAGAAGATAAAAAGTGAAGGTTTGTATCACTGTATTAAACATAGCATTTTTTGTCTTACCTGTAAAGATTTTTAAAAAGGGAATTCTGTTTCCTCCCATCCACATTTTGACTCTTCTATAACTACATTTAACCCGAAATAAATTACTTGAATTAAAAGTTGAGCCTAGCTTTTGTTTGCTGGCTTTACCTATAGTGCACTTGAAATTTTTAAATATTTTAATGTAAAAAAATGTGAAGAATAAAATGTTCTCTTTACCTTACAACATTAATTTCAGGAACAAAACTATATTTCAATTTATAACTCATTGTGTAACAATAAAGCATTTTATATAGGGATGTTTTGTTTTTATACAATGTATGATAATATGAGAAACAAAAAACAATTAAAATCAATAAAAAGATAAAATTCTATTTCCATATTGCATGGTGCATTCCTCTGTTAGCAGTGGACAAAAATGCTGATCATCAAATACCCCTGGATCTTCTAGGGATGAGGCCTCTGGGACATTATAATCTTAGGTGCTGTGTCTGAGCGATATTTCTTTCTGATCTCATCTATCTCACCATTATCAAGTATAAATGAAGCCAGCACTGGAATTTGAGAAAAATAGTTCTTAGCCAGGATATGTTTGTGTTTGATCTTGTGAATAAACGAGGGTTCATATCCCTAAAAGAAAAGAAAATCAAGTTCTAGTAAATGTCACAGATATATTTTGCCAAGTAAAAAAAGAAAAACACTTCCACGTCTCAGTTTCATATATCAGCTCTCTCAGCTCACAGTATATTTCTTCCCAGTTTTGTCTAATATCTTTCAGGTCTCAGCTCCTATGACGTTGTAAACCTGAGGCCTTTCCTGACTCTTCCTCTGACTTCTGAGTCCAAACTAATCCCTTCTCCTCCTTGCAGGTACTTAGTACTTTTATGTATTTTAATTGGAATATTTAGTTCATTGTGCCTTGAATTTCACTATTTACTTGAGAGTCTTTCCATGATAAAACAAAACAAAAAACAAAAAAAAAAAACAAAAAAATACTCCGTGAAGTTTCAATCTGGGTCCTTTACATATATGTGTCTCTCAACACCACAAGGTAGATAAAATATTTTTGAACGAATGATCCTGTCACCTTGGTTCTCTCTTTAAATCTACTTCAACACTCTTAAAATTACCAACTTGAGATTTTTTTTCTAAGACTGGTATTTATCTCCCCGTCTCCAGAGTCCAAAATAAAGATCACAATGGTGTTGTGACAATATAAACCTCCCTTTGCTTACACTTTTTACTACCTGAATTCCCACCTTATCAGTCCATTTTCTGTCTTTAAGCAGAAAATAACCTTTCTGCCTTTATCAAGTCTCTGTACCTTTCCACTTTTATTCTTAATTACTGTTTAGGCTTCTTATCTCTCCACAGCTATCGCATACTTTGAACTTTCTCTGTTACATAGCATTGCCACAGTATAAGATAATCTCTTTTCTACTAAGAGTGGCAGACTGCTTGTTGCCAACCCAATATTCACTCTTTCTTCTATTCATATTTTGGGGCCTGATTTTGCAGAAGGGCCTTATTTTGTATTATGTGATGTGCTCAGCTTTCCTAGCCTTTATTCTAACTAGGGGTGGCCATATGACAAGTTTCAGGCCATTATACATACATGTATATATAATAGAAGCCATTGGAGAAAGCTTACAAGAAAGCTTTTTAAGAGAATGCAGGAGACGACATAGCTATTTTATCTCTAAGACTCCACAAGCATGAGAATGAAAGTCAAAGGCTAAAGACGGCTGAAGAGAAAGTTAGAGGGCTTGGGTTTCTGAGAGCACTGTGGAGTCACCATCTAGACTCAACTTCTTGTTGGATAAGGAAACTAACTTCACATTTAATTAAGTCATTATAAATTGCTTACTCTGTTATTTCCAACCAGACTTAAATACAACCGAAACAATGAAGAATTGTGTCCATTATACTTTCTTGTTTTTCTCCAAACACTTGCCACTGTATCTGGCATATTCAAAAGAAAATTCTGGTTGAATTAATAAATACCCTCTATTTCCTTTATAACCTTAATTGACCCTTCTCTTCAACCAAATCTCTACTTGTACCTCCTCCTAGAATTTGTTTTCTAAAAGTAAGATAATCCTCACTAAAGACTCCTCCGTAGAGTCAAAACAAAAGTAAGGAGAACCCGTGGAAAAGGAGCCAAAGGACACACTGTTCTGACAGGAAGTATCATGGAGCAGTGTCCTGGCATAAAGCTTCCTCTCTAGAGACCAACTTACCAGGGCATCCTTTGCACTGATCTATGTTCAACCACTTCTTAGTCCTTACTTCATTAAAAAAAAAAAAAAAAACTAACATATTTCTGTTATGCAACATTAAATTATACAAGTACAGATCTTCATAGGTTTTCAAAGTATCTTTATAGAAAAAAAATCATTAAAGGCAAGATAAGCATATTATGGTACATACAAGCAAAAGAACAATCAGCAACTCTTAGAGAATAATATAAAATGGAAAATATCCAATATATATTATCCCCTTTTTATATTATTTCCTTTTCATATTATCCTCTTTTCTAGATAAGAAAATGGGCACTGAGACATTAACAAATTGGCTCAACTTCTCATAGCCCATAAATGATAGAGCCAGAATTCAACCAAGGCTGCTCTGATCCTCTATATTGATTTCATTTTTTTAGCCAAACTTTATAAAAATTTATGAAGCAAAGAAGGCAAGTCTTAATGTCCTACAGATTGCTAGAGACAGACATGGGGACATGGGGTCCACTGTTGTTCCTACTTTGACCGTGTGCACCATGAGAAACTGCTCTACCTCATTTACAGTTCAGAGAACAGAAGTCTTTTTCCATGGTTTTCCTATAACTTGTGTCATGATTGCAGGGAGCCAAGATTATTTTAACATTTGGGTATTTTTTTTACTTACTGAGAAAGCAAACATCTTTGTGCATTAAGGAAATTCTAGAAACACTTTAACTTGTGGCAAGATGTAAATTATTCTTTAAAAAAACTGAATATTAATAAAAGATCATGCTTAGTCCAAAACCATAAAAAGGCATTTTTTTTTAGTTTGTCTGGTTGAGAACCTTAGCTTTGTTTATAGAAATTCAGTAAGATCGACATCCTGAAATTAGGAATGCATTTGAATAGAACATTTAATTTGATACTGCAGTAATTTGATTAAATACACAAAGGGAGTATGTGGATTAATTGAAACAGTAAAATATCAGCTTTGGGAATGAACTTCAATCCCACTATGGGTCCTAGATGAAATGATATTGTAGTATTGGCTATGCTTCCAGTGATTACATATTTATGAAGCAGCTTAGTTTACTAAATATAATATTTAACACAGCTTCAATTTCATGCTGCTTTTTCTTTCAATCCCTAGAGTGCGATTTTTCTTAGCCTGACTTTCACTGGAAAATTATTCAAAAAAGCTAAAAATTTAACTAGTTCCTCCTCTTTATTTTATTTAAAATTTTTTTTAATGTTTTATTTTTGAGAGAGAGAGAGAGACAGCGTGAGCAGGGGAGGGTCAGAGAGAGAGGGATATAGAATCCAAAGACAGGCTCCAGGCTCTGAGCTGGCTGTCAGCACAGAGCTTGAAGCGGGGCTCGAACCCATGAACTGTGAGATCATGACCTGAGCTGAAGTCAGATGCTTAACTGACTGAGCCACCCATGCACTCCTAGTTGCTCCTCTTTATACCCTCCCTCCTACCCAGTAAAAACACAAGCAGGGAATAACACCATTCATAATGACTCTTATATTTGAAGTCATTTCTTTATTTTCTAACTGACAGTTTGCATGAAACTCAAAGTATAGACATTTAATCAATAGAAGGCAGAGAATCAGTATCAGCTGTTGGGATCCTAAGCTTGTGTTGTGTAAATGAAGTTCTCTGATGAACTTGATCCTGTTCATCAAAATGTTTTACAGATTGCATCTTGTAAATTGCTGAAATTAAATGGTATTGAATTTTTGCAGCATTTTCCCCACTCTCAGTCATTTGGGAGAAAATGAACCCTGGAGCCTCAGAACCATATTCCATCAGTAATTGCCATTTAGAGCACAAGATTATGAAGAAAATTTGAGAATTTAGTGTGTTTTATAGGCAGACTCATGATGGTTAATCAAAGAAAGACAGAGTCTAGGTTACATAATACCTAATCTGCTATTTCATTTATTCATTTATTTATTCAACAAATACTTAGTAAACTACTAGTCTGGGACAGGCACTAGTGTAGGTATTAGATACGGACATGAATAAGCTAAATAAAACCCATCTTCATGGAATTTATTGTGGAACTATGTGCTTCAAACTTGCTATTATTAGGAGAGAGTGGTATCCAGGGTAGATAACCTGTAAGATGTTCTAATTTCTTATCTTGTCTTTTTCTGTGCCTTAGCTTCCTTTAATTTTAATTTCAGCCATACATACCATCCACTGTTTGTTACTATTATCCAGTCTGTTTCTTAACCCAATGGAAGTATTTAAATTATCCTTGGAATGTAGTAAAAAACAGTCACACTATCTGTAATATCTTTGATGATTAAATTAGCTCCCCAAATAAATTCTCTGCTTTCTTACCTCTTCAGTACTTGTTAGTTTGAGATGAATAACGCCTTCATCTTTGGTAAGAAGAATGCAGTTCCAGGGGGACCATTCCAAGGACTTGTCCCACCTGACCATGACCAGATCGTGGAGATCATTCCAGGCACTGAGTACTGACTGCGATGCCCAGATGTTCTCTACCAGGTACTGAATATCTTGTAGCTGCAGGTCAAAACAAGTTTGAAAATTAATGTTTTCTTCTAAAGATAAGAGTATTACATCACTTGAAGAAATACATTATACTGCGTATATTTTTAAGAGAGAAACATTATTCATGAAGTTCAGTGCTTCTTACAGCTTATTTTTCACCAAACCTCTGCTCATTCTGCCCAGACTACATTATCAGATTCACAGTCATGACTGCATCTTTAACCCAGGGAACTATATTTCATCCAGTATGCTAATTTTACCTTATATGTAAATGGTATTTGGTGCTTTTCAAAATTTGTCACTATCATCTTATTCTCAGGGTTATCATAGGTCACTTTATTTCCATGTTACCAATGAAGAAATTGAGATTTAATAAAGTAAGCAATTTGCTTAGTGTTATTAAAAATACTTTGTTGTTTTAATGAAAAAATAAGGAAAATGGGGGAATGAAATAAGTGTTTAAAAACTTTTATAATTTAAAACATATTAGCTAAAAGTCTTGAAATGACTTCTTATCAAAAGGTCTGAATATATAAACTTAGAATTGCCAGAGGGGCAAGCTTCACTAAGTATAAGCATACAGAAAAGAAGGTTTATTTTATTTTAATTTTTTGCGTGGGGTTGAGGAAGAGAGAGAAAGAGAATGAGTGGGGGACGGGCACAGTGAAAGGGAGAGAGAGAATCTTAAGCAGGCTCCATGTCCAGCATGAGCTGGGGCTAGATCTCAGGATCCTGAGATCATGACCTGACTGAAATTAAAAGCCTGTCGCTTTACCAACTGAGCCACCCAGGTGGCCCAAGGAGCCATTCTTTTAAAAGGTTCCCATGGGAAAGCAGCAATCTTTTCTGTAGTCTCAGTGAACACATTTCATCCATGATTGGCAACCCTTACTGATCATACCTGCATCAGGAAAGCAATTTTAGAATCATCTTCATAATTAGCTTCTGAATAGTAGAGCCGTTGAAGTAAACATTTGTACTTCAAAAACGATTCTCGTTGCCGAGTCTCATTGTCAAGGTTAATGCAGTTACGACACCGGTATACACGGTGTGAGGTGGATGATACAGCAAACTCTGTGGAAGGCAAGTAGAGCTGGCAACTGTGGCAAAAGTAAATCTTCTTATAAAACTTCAGTGGGTCTTGAGGGACCTAAATAGTAAAAATTAATTAAGTAATTAATTAATTAAAAAAAGAAAAAAGTTATAAAGGTCAGTCCAAATACTAACCAACAGAAATACTGGAGACTAACTTAGAATAAGATAAAAAGTTGGTTAATTTCTAAAGTCACATTTCCCTTAACTTCCTATTATATACAAAACTTAAATTTCAAGCAGTCTTCATTTATCCTGCCAAAGTGTTAAGAAATCTGTATTATTCATCAACCCTTAGATACATGTGGTAAAATCACCTAAAAATTAATTGAGAGAAAAAAATTAGTAAGTGAAGGCTTTAGATTCCAAAATCGTAAGGAAACCTTCAAAGTGCATTGGCACTTAAGTTTTAAAAAGAATTTAGATTTTTAGTGCTATGTTACATTAATCTTACAGGCAATAGTTAGATTCATGTATAGATGAAAGCTCACCCAAACTAAGTGTATTTCTCATTTCATTTATCCTAACACTAAATCTGGATTGGCTCAATGATCAATATGCAAAGCCTGAAACTGTGCATCATATAGTAGCTCTATTTTTAATTTTTTGAGGAACTTCCACACAATCTTCTAGAATGGCTATACCAATTTAAATTTCAAAGGACAGTGCACAAGGATTCCCTTTTCTCTATATCCTTGCCAACACTTGCTATCTTTCGTCTTCTTGATAATAAGCATTCCCAAATTGTGAGCTGAATATCTTACTGTGATTTTGCTTTGTACTTCACTTATAATTAGTGATGTGGGGCACTTTTTCATGTATGTGTTGCCATTGCATGTCTTCTTTGAAAAAATGTCTACTCAGGTCTTTGCTCATTTTTAAACTGGGTTGATATGAATTTGCTATTGAGTTATATAAGTTTGTGGGGGTTTTTTATATTAATTCATCAGTTATATGGTGCACAAATATTTTCTCCCACTCTGTACATCACCTTTCATTTTGTTGGTTGTTTCCTTTCTACGCAAAAGCTTTTCAGTTTGATGAAATCCCAGTTGTCTATTTTGGCTTCTGATGCCATGACCAAAAAATCATTGCTAAGATCAATGTTAACAAGAGTTTCTCTATATTTCCTTCTAATAACTTTGCAGTTTCAGGTCTTATATTTAAATCTTTATTTTGAGTTGACTTTTGTATGTGGTATGAGTAAAGGTTGATTTTTTTTTGCAGGTGGCTATCCAGTTTTTTAACACCATTTAATAAAGAAACTATCCTTTCCCCCATTGTATGCTCTTAGTTCCTTTGTGCGTTTATTTCTGGGCTTTCTATTTTGTGCCATTGATCTCTGTGTCTGTTTTTATGTCATTACCATACAGTCTGAACTATAGCTTTGGAATATAGTTTGAAATCAGGAAGCATGATGCCTCCAGCTTTGTTATTCTTACTCAAGATTGCTTTAGCTACATGGGATCTTTTGCAGTTCCATACAAATTTTAGGATTTTTTTTCCTAGTTCTATGAACAATGCTATTGGAATTCTGATAGGGATTGCATTGAATCTGTAGACCACTTTGTGTAGTACGTACATTTTGCGTGTTAGGGGGGGTAGTAAGGATATTTTAACAATGTTAATTCTTCCAAAAGGATTTCTTAACTACAGAATAAATGCTAAAGGCATGACCCATTTTAAAAATGCATAAATTCAACTTTATAAAAATAAAAACATCTGCTGTGTTAAGGATACTGTTATGAGAATTAAAAGACAAGCCACAAACAGAGGGCAGATATTTGCAAATCAGAGATCTTACAAAGGATTTATATATCAAATAAACAAAGAATTCTCAAAGTTCAGTAACAATAAAATAAATGGCTCGGTTTTGGAAAAGGGAGGTGGTGGCAAAAGATATGTGCAGAGATGGATGGCAAAAAAGTGCATGAAAAGATGCTTAATATTATATTCATTAGGAAATCACAGATTAAAATGTAATAGAATACTACTACACATTTATTAGAATTCCAAAATTAAAATAAAGACTGGCATTACCAGCTGCTGACAAGGATACTGAAACCTGGAACACTCACACATTACAGATAGGGACGAAACATGGTACAGCCAGTGTGGGAAAAGCTTGGCCATTTCTTATAAAGGTAAACATGCATTTGCCAGATGACTCAAAAAATCTTACTTCCCAGGTATTTAACCCCAAACAATCAATTTACAAAAACTCACAATCAGTGTTTTTAGTGATTTTACTCACAAAATTCGAAACTCTAACAATTCCATGTCCTACAACTGTGAATGGATAAACAAGCTCTACTACATCCAGACAACAAAAATATTACTTAGTTATAACAACAAACTAAGGAGACATTCAAAAACACAGGTGAATATCAAATGCAATATGCTGAATGAAGGAAGCTAGTCTCAAAAACTACGTATAGTAGGATTCCATGTATATGACACTCCAGGTTAGGTATTGATTATATGACACTGCATTTGTCAAAACTGACACCAAATAGTAAATCTGACCCAAGGCTAATTTAAAAACTGAATAAAATGGTATGTTAGGTGAATGTGTAGAATATTCTATTATTGTGAAAATATAAAAGCTGAGTTAAGTCTACAGAGAAGGACTAGAAGTTACCTTGGGCAAATAGAATATTAATTTGAATAAGAAATAACATAATGGGCAACTTTTCTCTTGGACTTTTGTTATATATATTCTTTCAAGATTTTATTTTTAAGTAATCTCTATACCCAACATGAGGCTCAAACTTATAAGTATGAGATCAAGAATCACATGTTCAGGGGCACCTGGTGGCTCAGTTGGTTAAGCATCCAACTTCAGCTCAGGTCATGAACTCAAAGTCTTTGGGTTCGAGCCCTACATCGGGCTCTGGGCTTACAGCTCAGGGCCTAGAGCCTGCTTCAGATTCTATGTATCCCTCTCTCTCTGCCCCTCCCCTGCTTACTCTCTATCTCTGTCTCTCAAAATAAGATAAAGACATAAAAAAAAAAAAAAAAGGAATCACATGTTCTATTGACCAAGCCAACCAGGTATCCCTGACTTTTGTTCTGTCTCAATACTCTTACAATACAATTAAGTTTTTAAAATGCATTTTTTAAAAAAAGTATGTAAAAATTAAGTTTATTTTTCTTAAAGTTTTGATGAAACATTGAGATTTTATATCAAAAAACCAAAATAGATATTTAGCCAGCTTCTTAAATCGAAACTGTAAATACAATCATTAGAACAAAATACCACTTAGAATTCTTTAGTAAACCACTCCCTTCCAAACTGCACCAAAAGTGTTTTAAATCGTTTGACACAGTAAGAAGGCAATTAGATACGTACATTGGCTTTAGAAAGCAAAATCCTCATAGAAAATTAAGCATGTTGGAGCTGGAAAAGTTAGTTTAATGCAAATATATGTTACATTTGAAGTTCTCTCAGGATACCTCCATGGATCTGTTCAGTAATAACTATAACTAAGCAGTATTAGAAGTATTAGAAGGCAATACAAACAAAGTTTACATGTAAAATCTCAGAAATTAAGACTTCAGCTCTCTCTGACCTCATGCAAGAGGAGACCCATGAATTAAATGTCAGAAAATGAATAGGAGTTAGCAAAGTAGGGGACACCATTCCAAGTGGAACAGTGTGTTCAAAAGCATGAAGGTGTGAGAGATCATAAGGCATTCAACATAATGCAATATTCAGTTTGGTTCAGAGAGTAGGGAAGAATTCAAGGTTGAAAATAAAGACACGGAAGTTAAATGATTAATTTATTAACAAAAAAAAAAAAAACCATTCAAAAGAGATGTCACCAATAAGATGGTCTTTCACAGGGACCCCAAGTAATGCATTAAAGCAAACTTTTAATATACTTCAATTTACTACAGCACATTTTAGAATTTTGAGACAGGAATACAGGAAAAAAAGTAGAGTACCTTAAGGTGTCTTGCAACTTCTGGATTAAATAGAGGTGTTTTGATGTAATGAAAAAAGAGTGTTGCGATTCTTTTTCTGAGCCCTTCAAGATTATGATGCTTGACTCCTCTCATCATAAGATCAACCTCTCTGTCAATCAATTCTAGAATTTCCTGAGTCAGTTTACATTCATGTTCCTATACAAAACACAAACATGTTCAGCACAGAATTTTTAAAATCACTAAGTTAGTTTTCAAAATTACCTCCAAACAGACTGAAACTAGATTCTAAAAGAAAGAAATTGCAAAAGAAACTGGTAGGAGTAAAAATTGGTACAACTGGTTTGGGAAAACATTTGACATTATCTCGTAGAGCTTCAGGTATGTATAACCTAAAGACAGCAACTCCACCCTTTAGATCACCTAAGGGAAATGTGCGTGTAGGGTCATTGCTCACAGTAGCACTAAATCAGAAACAACTAAATAGCCATAAATCAATTGATGACATAAATAAGTGATGGTTTATTCATACAATGCAACATACTGACAGAATATTATATATATGGAAACGAATAAACTATAGCTATATATATATATGTAACAACAAGCTTAAAGCTTAAAAAAAGTAATGTTGAGTGAAAGCAAGACACAGAATAATTCAACATCATTCCAAAATAAGCAACACTAAGCCATATTATTTAAAGACATATAAAGATGGTAAAACTATAAAAAAAAAATCAAGGAAATGACTACTGTGAACGTCAACATGGCAGGTACTTCTAGGGGATAAGAGGGTGAACTAGGATTACAAAGAGAAAGGGACATACTTGGCAATGTTGGCAATGTCTCGTTTTGGGTCCGCGAGTGGTTACATGGTTGGTGACTTCGTATTTGCTACGTTGTACATATATAGTTTGTATATTTTTTCCCCAAATTTGTATAACTCATAATAATTTTTCATAAAGTCACAGAAATGAGTGTGGTTGAATAAGAAAGCTCCACATAGGGGTTAAGTGATTAAGGTAAGATTTTATGAGCAGTAAAATAGAAGTAAGTTGCTCCAACTGCCCCAGAGAGAACTAAAACACAGTTTGAATGAAGGAATCAGAATGTGAAGTACGTAACTGTAAAATAAAATTCTCTTGTACTTTTTAATACATACTTGGAGTAGCTAACACAATAGTGTGGAGTGGGGTCCTTGGCGCTGAAAGCATATTAGAATGACCTGGGAGATATTTTTAAAGATTTTAACATTGCCCTGACACTTGAGGATCTACTTTAACTTCTCTGAAATTGTGCCTAGATATCATTCCTTATTCATTTATTCTCATATTCTCTCTCTTTCAATCTCTCTCTGTCTCTGTGTATCTCACTCTCAAGTTCTTCAGACGCTTCTAATGTGTACTCAAGTTTAAGATTCACTGGGCTCTCTTAGTAATTGTCATCAAAATAATACCTATTATTTATTGAGGGCTCCCTATTTGTAAGCAGTGAGATATATGGATTATATTTTATTTATATTTTACAAATACATAGAGATGTATGTATACTATATACACATATATATCTAATCCTCAAGGCAACTTACTGATTTTCAGGAATATTAATTAAGTTATCTAAGACTGTATAGCCATAATGAGTAGAGCCAAAATTTGAGTCATGTTTAAAGGCCTTAATCCTCCAATAAAATATTGTTAAATAAATGTACATGTAGATATACAGGTTAAACATACTGTTTAAGAAATGCAAAATTTATTTTTATAAGCCTATTATCTGTTTTTGTTTGGTTTTCTTTTTTTTATTATTATTAACCAGCTTATGTACCTAAATATATTAGTTAGGAAGATTTCTATTGTATTCCCTACTTGCACTTTCCTTTTTCCAATCTGGCCTTTTTACTACGCACTACAGACATCATGCTTATTTCCTACCTCTGGACCAACTGATTTTCCCTTTCTTCCTGACTCTCTATCTTCCAATGTTAGTCACTACACAAATGTCTTGAAAAAGGTAATACAGAACAAAAGCAGTCAATGCCTCATTGAGTTAATGCCTCTGTTCTCAAGATGGAGAGAAATGCAAGAGATCTCTTCAGACTTAGCTCCCAACAAGAACCATTTACTCAATTGCTTAATGTGTCTCACATTGATAAACGAAGAGAACAAAATAAAAGTATTCTCATGCTGCTTTAAAACTGCTAAAAATAAAATTTTCATTGAAGAATGTCAAAATATATAGACAATTGATGTTTTATTGAACTGAGTTAAGTATTAATCTCATGCTATATATTTGTATGTATTTGCATCCATCACATAGAAATGGGTATTTATTTCCATTTAGATTATTCATTGTGCTATACTTACACTTATCATGTGTCATAATATACAGTTTGAGAACCTTTAGATAACTATTAATGCAAAAACCACATCCTCCCCAAACTACACCAAAACAATTTAGCTGTTGACAAAATAAATTCAAATATATAGACATTGATTAATCATCTTTATCATTAATGCAAAACAGCTATTTTAGTATTAATTTTTTTATTGATAGTGATACCTCAAAACTAAGAGAAAGTTAATGTACCTTCACAGTATGTTTAAGTGTTAGGAGTACATCCAGTCTTTCATCTTGAGAGACATTTTTCAGCACTATGCATTTATAGATGTTCTGCAGCTCTCTGGCTCTGATGGTGAACTGTGTATCCATCTCAATCATTTTGCCGCTAAGTGATCTCCATACCCTTGGAGCTGAACACTTAAAAATAATATTATGTTTATAATTATCAGTTAATTAAAGGTTAAAAAATAATTTTGTTACTTCTACTAAAAGCTAACTTAATATCATGTGCTTTATGAATAAAACCATCACTAAAACTTGAGGAAATTAATTACAGAATTTGTAGACCACGGGAGATTTAAGGGAAAAAAGCATGAAAGAGCTCTTTAGTCTGTGGAAGTGCAAGCATTTCTATAGGATTCAGAATTTGCTACTTATTGAACTAACTAGTATGTTGAATGGCTTAATGAGTATATGGAATAACTCATTACCCTTGGGAAAAGTTATGCTATTTTGAATGTTTAAAAAAGTGATCTGCTTGTTTCAGTTACACAGAGTTATAGAAATGTGTTTTGACCACGCTTTGTCAATTGAAGAAACTTTTGTGGAGCCATTGTTACAATCCTCAATGCCTTAGAACTAAGGATACAATAAAACAGGACTCTATGAGTTACGGTTTTGTTTCCTATAAACATAAATCTGTAACAAGTCCACAGTTCTTCACAAAGCAGGTGTCCACAGTTGAGCAACTGTATTTAGCTCTCTTAGCAGTGGTCCCTGTCTCCCTGATGATGATGGCTAAGATGTTCACTCTCTATTCCCAAATCTGTCTTGGTGCCTCTCAACCCAGCCGACCCCATGAACTGAGGGTTACTGACAGAGTTCGCCTGCCCTGGAGCTCATCTGTGGACTCTCAGGCTAAGAATTCAGGGGGTGGAGTGACACAGTACAGACACTAGCGCAATCGTTAATGAATATTAAGTCCGTGTTTTCCACTGCTTCTGTTCCTTCCCAAACGAGGCTTTTAGAAAAGATGCCTTCACCTAGAAATTTCACAGTGAAACCTCACTATTTTCCCTTCCCCTTTATGGTATAAAGCTGCTCAATTTCTTTCCCTGATTATAATCTAACAGAAACAAGCCTATTTTGATCATGACTATTAACTCTCCAAATGCTGGATATTTTGTAGACTGAATGATAATTGCTTTGGAGACCTGTAGTCTAATTTATGCCATAATTACAGCCACTTAAATCTTAGATGTGATATAATTCAAAGCTTAATTAGAAGCCCTTGTATGGGAACAAATCATTAGGAATGCAGACTAGCCAAATAAAGAAATAATAGAAGGCTGGACATATTCGGTATGACAGTATTACGAAGAATTTTCAGTTACGAAGAATTTTCAGTTACAGCCTTAAATTACTTTTAAATTCTCACATTTCATATTAGCTAAATCACAATGAAAACTGAAAAGCACCATCTAAAAACAACTATATGTGAGGTGTTTTCAAAGTAATGGCAGCATTTTCTGATCAAAGCCAGAATAAGTGCTGTTCAGAGCTAGGAATCTCCATCAGAAACTTTATAGATTCTCAGTTCTAGTTTAAGTCCAGCAAGTGAGAGGTTGCAACCTTATAATTCACTTATATTTCTAAGGCATATATCTAATATTAAATAATGTACTGCTAATTAGCAGACTGACAGAATTAACTAAAATTCATTAAGGATTATAAGAGGGAAACAGCTCAAAAAGAAAATATTTGTCATTTAATTACTATCGCTTAGAAATAAATAAATATATATATATATTACTTTAAATAGATACAGCTTTGTTTGGGGTATGCCTCAGAGTGTTATTGAAGTTGAATGTTTGTTTCAAAGCTCCTTTTAAAAGTTTTAAGGAATAAGCAACCTTAAACTAAGTTTCATATTGTGGTATTTAAAAACTTTTTAAGGCTTATTTAATTTTGAGAGAGAAAGAGTGCTAGTAGGGGAGGGGCAGAGAGAGAGGGAAACACAGAATCTGAAGCTGGCTCCAGGCTCTGAGCTGTCAGCACAGAGATGTATGTGGGGCTCAAACTCACAAACCATGAGATCACCACCAGAGCCAAAGTCAGACACTTACCTGACTGAGCCATCCAGGGACCCCTCGTGTTGTGATATTTTAAAGTCTAACTAATGTCTTAATTTTGCCATGCCATTTTCTATAGGGTGGTTCTATTAAATGCGATTTCCTTTCTTCTAATAATGTGTACAATACCTTTTGCTCTGCAGGTTTCTTTCACTTGTAATAATCCTTTTATTTCACTTGTAATAATTATCTTTTAATGAAATACCTAGTTCATCAACTTCATTGTATTTCTTTCAGCTGATAGATTGATTTAATTCCACCTCCCCTCCAAGTTTTTAGCCCCATCTAATATAGTATGATTTGGTAATATCTCAGATTTTTTCCAAATATATTCAACATCCAAATTCTTCCCACCCTGCAATTTTTAACTCAAACTCTACCTTTTCCATAAAAATTCCTAAGTAATATGTTTTGAACCAATGAAATCACTAGTATCTGAAGTCCTGTTGTACTCATAAACACACTCACACACACACACACACACACACACACACACACGTATCCAGTGTCTCTATTTCAAGAACTCAGGGAAATAAAATTTAAGTCCAAACTGTTCTATAATTATTTTTTTGTTAATTTTATTTCTCCCAAAAGATTATAAGAAATAAATTCTCATATGGTTCTATATATCTGATAGGGCCTACAGTACCCATTCATTCACTCCACTAATACTGAGTGTGTTTACTATATATTAGTGTGTTAGGTACAGAGTAAACAATACTGATTTTAGGAACTCTCAAGCCTCATAATAGGTAAAGATAAGAAAATCTATAATTAAAATAGAGGGTGATTCTGCTCATGATTGCAGGTAAGTAGGTAATTAATCATAGGATACTATGAAGCAATTACTTAATGAAAAGAAAATAGTATCTAAAGTGAAACCTGAAGAATAACTAGGAATTAGCCAGAGTAAAGGGAACTGATTCTTTACAATCAGAGAATCCTATGTTTGAAGTTCAAATTTCCCTAGCTAGTACTAAAAGATATTAAAAAAAAAAAAAAAGTCTATTCGACGAAGCTGTTTTTATACTTCGATATATTTCTGCAAACACTGGTAACTTGGTCTTCATTCAAGTCTGAGCTTCTTTGATTTCAGCCCTTAGATATTTTTTTTTTACCCTGACACAGGAAAATGTGTCAACTTTGCTTATTTCTCTTTCCTATTTCCTTTTTTCTTTGAATGCTTTGGCTGTAATAAGAGCCGTACAACAATCATGTTCTTAAATTGCTTCAAAAACACAGGAGCGTAATAAATTCCATTAAGCTGCCAACAAATGAGACAGAGCAGACTCTGGAGGAGAGAAACAGAAGAACAGCAGGAAGACACATTTCAAGGAAGGGAAGGTGGAGAGATAACAAAAACCTTGAGAGTAGCAGGCTCCCACAAAAGAGAAGAAATGACTGCACTGTGAGAGGAGGGCTTTCTTCCTCCTAAATTAATGCTCGGGTCCCCAAGGACACAAATTAAGAATAACCCTAACCCCCAAAAGCTACTGTATAGTGATCAACTTTTCTTTCACACAGCAAAGGGGTTTTGTTCATACACAGAGGACCCCCCTGTGCACTGTGGTGCTCAGAGAAGCAAAAATCGGTTGTATTTTTCTGTCCCATTAGCTGTTGGCCACCAGAATATGGGGGAGAAAAAAAAAAAAAAAACATCTAAATGACACAGCTAACAAGGATTGCAGATTTGTAGCTTGTGATTGTGAGAAGTGGTATGTGAATCAAAAAAAGGAACAGCCTTGACTCTATGGAAAACCTCTTGCAGAAATTCAAATGGTCTCTTTAACACAGTTTGGGTAAAGAGAGCCCAAGATACATTAGAAACTGACTGATGGTTTTTTACTCTCATTTCTTGACTTGCTTTTTTTCACCTCTGTCGGCTTGTGAGTTTTTAACATTTGATAAACTGTGGAGGTCAACGTTTGAGGTGTTAAAATTACAAATTATTTAACTAACACTTCAAAAACTCTTTAGATTAGGCCTTTTATGGAGAATGAAGGCTTAGTGTAGAATCCATAAGAACTGATTAATTTAATGTCTATGTCCAGCATGAGGTTAAAAATACGGATTCAGTAATCCATATAATGTTTAGATACAGTGAAGTTAAATTAAAACCAAACATAAAATTCTATTTTTCAAAGTTATTTCCAAATTATAGGAAAGTAAATATTTTCTTTATATATCTGTATGATTAGGCTAAATGTGGCCCTGAAAATCAGCATTATGGCCCTCGTTGTTAGTGTTGACATTTGAAAAAACTCTGACGTTGTTTAGCTTCAGGGATTCATTGTAAGCTATTTTTTCTTAGTTATCAAAAATACTGTAGGATAATAAATTACTTCAAGTTTTTTTTTTTGAAATCAGCACTGTCTCCCCTTGAATATTAGAGACAGTGCTCAGCATGTGTGAGGGGAGAAATAGACGGGCATAAAGAGGAAGGGATACGGTATAAGTATTTGCAAGGGAAGGCTATAAAATCTATCTTAATTGCTTTCTATGATGTTCAGTATGGCATCCTATACAAAACGGTGATTTAAATGAATTTGCATTAAAATGACAAAGACTTTATAATTTACCATAACAGGTTGAAAGTATGTCAAAGTCACTGTTAATACTTTTAAAGACTAGATTCAATAGTCTATGTAATGGACTAGGACTAACTTTCAAGTGTAGCAATACCATTCTGTGGTTGTGTTTTTCTTGCCCTACACAACATTTTCGTCAAAACTGAGGTAAAATTCCCTTGCATCAGCTAAAATGTCCATTTCCTCTAAATCTCAGCCTATGAACTGGTGAGATTAATTGGTTTATTAGCTGGGGTAACCACAGATTTAGAACTCAAATTCTAAAACCTATGATCCACAAAAAGCCTTTCCCTTGATTTCTACAAGTTCATACAGCTATTCTGTCCATCTCTCCTTCAGTCTTCTGGTCTTGCACCTTTATGTCCTGCCCTGAATCAGATGGACACTAAAGCCCAACCATTTCTCTCGTTCTCACTCCTCTTACCAAAAAAATTACCTTGCACTTAATATTTCATTTATTTTGCAATATAACCAGAAAGTCACAAGGAGCCACGTTGTGCCCAGCTGTGTCCTCACTCTACTTTCTCTTTTTCTCTCCTGGCAACAGCCAAAGACTTCCATTTTCCTGGCAATTCTTCCTACACTCAGGATCCTTCAGGGTCTCCCTTTCTACTACAACTTAACAGTTTTTACAAAAAACAAAAACAAAAACAAAAACAAAAACAAAGACCAGCTCTTTTTTCCTCATGAAAAATCCTATGAACACAATTTTTCCATTTCATCTTTTTTGGTGAGATTTCAAGGCCTTCATAGCATGCTACATACACTTCATGGGAAAGAGCAATGGTTACTAACTAGCTCCAGAGCCAATATTATATGCTGGGACTTTATCTACGTTTGCACTCTTTATAATTCAAAAAAGGTTTTGATACAATGTTGGACATGAGGCCTGGAGGGGGTAGAGTGGGTGTGTGCATGTGTGTGCAAAGGCGTAATAAGAATAGACACTGTAGGGGGGCCTGGGTGGCTCAGTGGGTTAAGCATCGACTTCAGCTCAGGTCATGATCTCACAGTTTGTGGGTGCAAGCCCTGTGTTGGGCTCTGTACTGACAGCTAGCTCAGAACCTGGAGACTGTCTTTGGATTCTGTGTCTCCCGTGCTCATGCTGTCTCTATCAAAAATAAATAAAACATTAAAAAAAAAGAAAAGACATTGTATAAGCATTTACAATAAGAATTTTAAAATGTTCGTAGGAAACAAAGCATCAGAGAAAGCATAGTTGGAATTTCTGTGGAAGTCCCAGCCTCAAATAAGGAAGCATAGATGCCACTCGTCTTTCATGTCCATTGTACCTCAGAGACCCTAGCTCCTTCAAACACTCTGGGTCCCTGCTGCCCTGAGTCCATGCTGTCCCCATGGTAAGGTTAACAATCAGACACGTAAGGAATATGGCTCCCAGTGATGAGTCCCTGAGTCCATGCTGTCCCCATGGTAAGGTTAACAATCAGACACTGGGAATATGGCTCCCAGTGATGAAGGTGGACTCAAGAGAAAGTAACTTGCTAAAGGAATAAGTTTAGTTTCAAATATGATCCTGGAGAAGTATGAATATTATGCTTCTACACAGTAGACTCATCTTTCCTAGAATGAAGATATTCAAGAATTTGAAATGACACTATCTACATTGCATAATATCTTGATAGTGCTTGAAATATGAAATTACACACCCATTATATCTGTCCCTTATTTTTCCTTCCTGCCTTCCTCCATAAGCATTTATTAATATTCTGTGATATGCACTATGCTAGGACATGAGGATACAGAGATAAAAGACAGCTCTTGCTTAAGAAGCTCAGTACCTAGGAATTATTCAGACATGTAAAGTGATGCAGTAAAAACTGACCACTACTGGGGCACCTGTGGCTCAGGCTGTTAAGCTTCCGACTCTTGATCTCACGATTGGTGGGATCAAGCCCCATGTCTGGCTCTGCGCTGGTTGCAGAACTGTTGCTCTCCCTCTCTCTCTACCCCTCCCCTGCTTGTACTCTCTCTCAAAATAAGTAAATATACTTTTAAAAATTTAAAATTGGTCATTATTTACTAAGATCGAAGTGAAACAGGGTCTCATGAAAACATGTAGTACAGGCTAAAGTTGGAGGATCAGTAGACCCTTTCTGGAAGAAGGGGCACCTGAGCTTGTTTTGAAGGGTACATAGGTAGCTACTCTTCTGAAGGAGGGAAAGGATGTTCCACGCAGAGACAACACTGGATGCAAAAGCATGCCGAACACGTGATCTTTCTGAGGATGTGCAAGTAACTGAGCACAGCTGGAGCAGTGTGGCTGTAGTGTGCATGGAGAGATGACTGAGATACCAGCAGGACAGCTGAGGTGTGCTGAGTATCGATTGTGAAAACCCCTGAGGGGCAGTAAGGAGGGGCAGGAGCAGAGATGTGTTTAGTGAGGTCACTATGGACACGATATGGATGACAGAGGAGGGACCTGCGAAGTGAGACTGGAGGCTGAGAGCCTAATTTGGAGACATAAAGTAATCTGAATGAGAAGGAAATCCACATTCAGTTAAGTCACTGTCAAGCTCACACACACAAGACAAGACCTGGCCTGTAGGCAGTAGTAGTGGGTTTGAAAAGGAAGTAAAGAATTGAGACGATTATTAAAGTAGTAGAACAAACCGGTTGGTGGCTGGATGGGACGCCAGGAATAATGCCCAGGTGTGTTTAGCACCTGAGCAGATGATGAAACATTCATAAAGACAAATGATGTGAGTACTACAGAACAGGATCGGTTTGGAGATGAGGGGCCAGGGACTGGTGAGATGATATAATTTCAGTGTTGACATGTCAATTCAAGGTGTACTGCTGGGACACCCAAAAGCAATTACAATAGGCAAGTTGCAATACATTTGGATACATGGTTTGGAAGCTCCTAAGAGATGTCTGGTCTGGACCTGCAGAGAATTCCAGGATGTAGGTACTAGTTAAAGCCACAAAAATGAGATCAAAGGAGAGTGTATTAGTAAAATGAGAGGAGGGCATTTAGAGTATCAAAAAAATATGGTATTTAAGAATGAATATTCTCAAGTAACAAGAACCATACATCTAGAATCACTATAGGCAAAGATCTAGAAGAACTCTATCCTCTTTCTTCTTGTGGCTGGATTGGCTTTTAATTGTTTAGAAAGATCAGATTTATAAAAGGAGACTGGTCACTATGGAAACAGGCTATGCAATCAATATCAAACAGAAGAGACAGTTTCAACACAAAAAGATAATTAGTTTTTCTCTTAATTGTATGTTTTCATGGTTTTCAACAATCATATACACTTTTGGTCAGAAACTTCCAGTCAGTTAATGACCTGGTGAGCAAAAGCAAAAACACTCACCTCTAGCTCTTTTCCCCAGGTTGCTTACTACAAGGCATCCCAAACCCAGACATTTTGTGACTTCAATAAGTCTACATTTCATCAGGGTGTAGAATTGATCTAACTTCTGTAGCCAGCCTAAATCTAAATGAACAGAGTCACAAAGAAGGTAGCTTTATTTTTTCCTTCATGGCCTAAGCCTTTTAGTTAAGGACATATTAATTTCATGTGAATTGTCAATTGTTATTCAAGGCCACAGTTAAAAATCTCAGGCTGTAATAGAAAAAAGAAAAAAAAAAACAGAAAATTTAAACATGCAAATTTGTACAATGTCAGTCTCTTCTTTAGCTCCTCATTCTACATTTTTAAACTCAGGACTCATTCTTATTTAAATAATTGCTACTTTACTAACCTTATCCAAAAAAGCTTGTATCAGGGCTTCTTGGTTTGCCATATTCGCCATGTATCTATGCCTCCCAATGGAAGCAATTATCTGGGTCTCTTTTTCCAGAAGTTCACACAAAGCAGCTTTTCTTTCAGCCCCAGTGAAAGACTGGTTAATGCGTGCAAGTTCTTCTTGCCGCCAGACTAAAGGAAACACATGAAAGACTCTTGAGTTTTTAAAATCCCACATCTTTCAGAAAATTTTTTACCATCACGTCCTGATGAACAGTATTTTATTTTTGTATCAATTTAAATAAAATTATACATGAATATTATCATTCATATTGTACACTTGACATATGAAACAATAGGATGAAATGGAAGCTGAGAAACTTAAAGCAATAGAGTCAAATAAAGAGAAGCCAAAGGAAATCAGCCCAGATAATGTCAAATTATACTTCCAAGCAAGCACATGCTCTCCCAAGTACTGAAAAATATATGGTGTGGGTTTGTAGCAACCATGAACACGTACTACTCAGATCTCCTTTCAAGGGAATACCTGGTTTTGCTACCTAGGTGAAATAAGTCAGTCAGAGAAAGACAAATACCACATGACCTCACTCATATGTGGAATTTAAGAAACAAAACAAAAGAGCAAAGGAGGAGAGAGAGAGAGAGAGAGAGAGAGAGAGACTAAGAAATGGACTTTTACCTATAGAGAACAAACTGATGGTTACCAGAGGGGAGGTGGGTGGGGGGATGGGTTAAACAGGTGATAGGGATTAAGGAATACACTTACTGGGGCCCTTGGCTGGCTCAAGGGTAGAGCCTGTGATTCTTAGCTTGGGGTTTGTGAGTTCAATCCCCACATTGGGTATAGAGCTTACTTAAAAAAGGAGTATACTTACGATGAAAAAATAAATAAATAAAACAAAATGATTTTTAAAAAGAATAACTTCCCTTAGGAAGACATTTTGGATACCCCCCCCCACAATCAAAAGAAGATTGAAAGACAGTAGCATGTTATTTTCTTCATCTATCTATCTGTCTATCTATCTATCTTCCTTAAAAAGTGCTTAATATTTTGATATATGTATAAATACCTATCACTGAATTGTTTTTCACCTTTCCAGCAAAATTCTTCCATCAGAACTTTCTTATGCATCTATTTATATAATATAAAGATGTATGCACATTTATAATTTCCACCTGGAAGGGAAAAAGCACAATGTGCAAATGATTCCACTTTTCCTGACAAGTCTCATCTACTCTTCTTAAGAAAGAAAGAAAGAAAGAAAGAAAGAAAGAAAGAAAGAAAGAAAGAAAGAAAGAAAGAGAAGGAAGGAAGGAAGGAAGGAAGGAAGAAAGGAAGGAAGGAAGGAAGGAAGGAAGGAAGGAAGGAAGGAAGGAAGGAAGGAAGGAAAGAAGGAAAGAAGGAAAGAAGGAAAGAAAGAGGAAGGAAGGAAGGAAAGAAGAGAGAGAATACAGGCTGCGGGGAATACAGGTAGGTTACAGTGTTGGCTACGGCACTTCACATGGGCTGCCATACCGAGGCAGAAGCCATGCTCTCCCCACATGGCTCTTCAATGGCTGAGAACCAGGGGGGATTAGGGCCTGGCCAGGTCTGCCCAGCAACTACTTGTGGTTTCAGTGCTGACCACTGGGCTGCCTCAGACTTCCTCAGAGCTGTTATCTGTGTGAGGCTCTCCATCCCTCAACCTCTTTCCTTTCCTCTCTCAACTTCCACAGGTGTCAAACTGCATCCTGATCTGAAGACTTTCCTCGCTCTCTTTCCCCTTTATCTTTCACTTTGACATCATGGTGTCTGCTTCCACTAGGACCCACACTGACAGATTTATGCAGAATCATTGACTTCAATTATTTTCTTCATTACTAGCATGTAGGAACCATTTTAGGTTACTTAGGTAGCACTTAGGTACCATATCTTTACAAAACCTTAAATTATAGCAGCAAATGTTGTAAAGTAATTGTATTTACTTTTTACCCAAACCTATGAATTCAGTTAAAACAATATTTATGATTGGTTACTATCAATAAAGAATGGGTTGCATGAAATATATCCTAAGACCAAACTATAAAATGCCAAAGAGCAGTATTTTAATAAGCTCATTTTACCTGAGTAACAGCATATTGTCAAAATTAACTTACATGAGAAAAATGGATGACTAGGTCCTACCCTAAACTTAACTCAGTCAAAATTTCTGGGCTCAGATACATGCATTTTAACAAGTGTCTCATTCAATTCTCACACACACTAAATTTGGGGGAAGGGTAATTGTTTTATATCCCACTTACATTAAAAGAAGCAGAGTGTTGGAAAGAACCTTAGAAATCAAACAGTTCGACACCTCACCCACATGTAAGACAGTGTCCTCCTGTCCACAGTTTGGACGGGTTTAATTCGCTCACCCTGGGCCTGGGACTAGCCTACGAAGAAACAGACTCAATCTATTCTTCGTTCCAAATGGCATACCTTTGGCTATCAGAAGGTAGCTGGCACCTTCCATTTAGGTTTTCTCTTTGCAAGACATAAACACTTCCTTTTCCTAATTTGCATATTATTTGATATAATTTCATGTGTCATCCAGGTCAAGCTGCTCTGGCTTATCACAGTAGCTCTTTGACATTTGGCATACCAAATTCTTGACAAGATGGAATTTTATGCACAAGCGGCTAACTCTCCTCTCCTAAATTCCTAATTACATGAAACAAGAAACGTGAAGTGGGAGAGAAGAGGCAGAGACCCAGAACAGCACTGGGAATCAGAGAGGTACACCCTATACGTGAGGAATCATGGGGGATTTGTTATAGCGCAGATACTACTAGAAGACACTCAAAGAAACACATGTGTCCCCAAACCGCTGCTGTCTCATCTCAGAAAGTAGACATAGAAGGAGACAGAAAACCTTGATTCAATGCCTTAGAGCTTGAGCAGAGGGTAAGCGATGAATCTAGTTGATAGTTTACTATGTTTTAAGAAAGTTTTTGAAAAACTTTAGGAAGGAATAAAAGAAAAATGCCTACATTTCAAGTCATTACAGAAAGTAACAATAATCACAACTGTTTATGAAAAAAAGGCAAAAAATTTCAAAAGAGAAAGCAAAAAAGCAAGATGAGAGAACCAAAATCAAGCATCATAGTTATACTTAAAAATATAAAATGGTTACTTTTTTACCAAAAATAAGTTAGAATCATTTTTTTTTTAAATCCAATGACATAATGTTTTTCAAGAGACACACTTAACACAAAGCAACACCAAAAGTAAAGGTTAAACATAAAATGCTGGTAAATGTGAACAAAAAAGAAAACAGAAGCAGCAATATTAACAGTATATTGAAAATATATACAGTTATTGGGATAGAAGACAATTTTATGATGAAAGGTATGACCATTGTGAATGCTATATACAAAATCACACCCAACAGAACTTGTAAAGCAAAACTTCTACCAGTTATAAACACTACTGGAGTGAGTATACTTTATGTTACACAAACATCATTAAACTACAAATGAGTCAATCTATGTCAATAAAGAAGTATTTAAAGCATTAAAACATTTAAGCAATATGATTAACAAATTTAAATGACTCAAGCTCTGAACAACAAAGACTGAAAATGTATCTATTTTCAAAGCTCTATGAAACATTTAATTTATATAAATTCTAAGAGCAGGAATGAAAGAAAATGAATTCCCCAAATCAGAAATGCCAAAACCGCATTTTGATACAGTTCAATTAAACTAGAATTAAAAACACAAAATTTAAAAAGAAATAGTCCCAACTGCTTGGAAACGTAATAAATACCATAAAAAATAACATTTTAATCAAAGAAGAAGTTAAAAGTAAGACTGCCAACTATTAAGGAAAAAAACCCACTACATATCAAAATGGATAGGATGCTACAAAAAAATTGAAGTAATATAATTTTGGGGAACTTTGTAGAAATAAGCCTGAAATTCAAATCAGTTACCACTGAGAAGTGAGTCAGGCTGCAGGCAGAGTTAACAAAAAGCTGTAATGTTTGTGATAGTTACTCATGAACCTCCTCTGGAAAATCATGTCTGCTGGGTACTTCTCTCATTACCCATTATTATTTAAGTATCTGGGAGTGGCTTTGAAGCCAGGGTATATACACATAGACTGGGAACCTGACTTCATTAACCACGGTTGATCTGTGTTCTTCATAGAACATGGAAGCAGAACAAAGTTGAAGCAACAACCTATTGTTCTTTATTCTGAACACACACTCCAAAAAGTCACTCTAGTTTTTGACATTCATCATAAGCTTCAGTTCATTCTAACTTTTTGGATATTCAGAACTGTTCCTGAAAATGTTTTCGTGTCACGTTTTGGGTCATCCTTGTTACTGTACGTGTAGTGACCTCAGTCTGGAATTTACAGAGGATCTTCCACGCATGCACTTTCACGAGCTAGACGCTCCCAGACGCCTTCCCGCAGGTGGCAAGCCTGTCCTCCACCCATGCGGGTTTATATAGCTTTGGTTTTGTGCAAGGCACCCTCAGCCCAGAACACGTGGGAACATGCCCGCCTTACTACAACAAGGTCCCTTACAATGTCTCATTCTCTTCTCTCCTAATAGACACAGGAACCGTGATTTTAAGGTATAGACTTCGCCTTTGCTTCCTTTCTATTCTTAAGGCTGCTCTGAAAACAAAAGCCTGTTTGTTTTTTCTTACTGTACTATTTACTTCATCTCCTGTTTTCTTCTTGATTCCTAGTCCCCTCTTTTCTAATTAAACAGTACAATAAAAATAACACTACCACCATGGAGTGCTGGTTACAATGTGTCAGGCTCGTCTCAAGCTCTTCACGCCTATGAGCTCCTGACAAAGCAATGAAGTAAGTGCTACAATTATCCCCTATTTTACAGAAAAGGAAACTAAGGAAAACAGAGACTTGTCCTTGATTTAATCTCCTGACAAAGCAATGAAGTAAGTGCTACTATTATCCCCTATTTTACAGAAAAGGAAACTAAGGAAAGCAGAGACTTGTCCAAGTGGGACCAAGACTCAAACTCTGGCAGTTTGGCTCCATGGTACAGACTCTTAACCACTGCTCTCCCACTTCTCAAAAACATGTAATCTTTTGGGGCGCCTGGGTGGCTTAGTCGGTTAAGCGTCCGACTTTCGCTTAGGTCATGATCTCGCGGTTCGTGGGTTCGAGC